AAAGACTAATAATCTTATTTCAAATCAATCATACTCATTTCCAGAAAAACCAGGAAATTCTCATTTCAGTCCATCAAAACTCTCATTTCCGTTTAATCACACTCAGGTGCTGGTAAAGTCAATTTAAAATCAATTAAAACCTTGCCACCATCTCAAAAACAATTAAAACATGCTTTAAAATCGAAGGGCTTTACCATAATTTACTTACCTTACTCGCACAGAACAGAAGGCTAACCCAAGTGCTACGGTGACAGAACGATCAAAACCTAATCACAATATTCCAAGAATTAATAACCATACCACCACAAATTCACAATGAAATCATCATTAGCACTACCCAATCCCGATGCTATTCCTATCAATCTCCACATGATCAAATATCTCCAAATTCGTTCTTATATCACAAACTAATCCTTTAAATCCCCGTTAATCATTAACCCTCGGGGTGTGAACAGTGCCTATAAACAGTACCTATGAACAGTGCTCACGCCATGAACAGTACTGCCACTTCCAAACATTAGCAAAACCATAGCTAATCTCACGGGATTTTTCTCTCCAAACAATCACAACAACAATCATAACAAGCTAATTTTCTACTTAAACCACACTTAAAACATAGCTTAAAGCTACCAAAATTTCCCCAACCTCACGGGCAGCACATGGAGGGCATAGCTTTGGCAAACCACAACTCACACACACGGGATTTTCACACAAAACATCACAGCAATCAATTAGCACCCAATCACAAAATTCACACTTGAATTAATGCTTAAATTTTGTCCTAAAGCTACCGGAATTCCTCCCCCATTTTCTACAGAATTTGGACAACATAGGCAACCATCACTCAACTAGTTTTCAAGAATTAAAGAAGCCAACCTACCAGAAATTTTCCAGCTGCAGAACCGGACATGGCAGGGGGAAGAGGCCGGCGGCAATTTGGGGGAAATTCTGCAGGAACTCACGGGATTTACCCAAAATTAAAGGAACCCAACTTAATCAAAGCTAAAAGGATGAAATCATGGCTGTTTCTTACCAGAAAAGCCGAGAATTCACACCCACACAAGCAGAGGCCGACGGACAAAGGGAAGAAGACAGCGCAGATCTGGAATTTCCAGCAAAGAGGGGGAATTTCTGGGTTTACTAGGTGTTCTAAGACAAGAAAATAAGGAGAAATCCCCAAGCTTTGCCGGATTTCCGGCCGGAAAAATGGGTGGCGGTAGTTGGGGGGGCTTCTCGGGTGCAGAGGGTCGGGGGACAGAGCATCGGGGAGAAGAAGAAGATGAGGATGAGCAAAACACGTGGCTGAGGAGAGAAATATCAGCCTTGATCCTTATCCTAATTTTCTTTCTTTTAAGTCTCTCAACTTTTAAAAATTTGACTATTAAGCCCCTCAATAATATTTTCCCTCAAATAAGTCCCTTATTTAATGCTAAAATATCCCCAAAATTTTGGGATATTACAGTCCTTGCAGCCCTTAATATTTTCATTTTGTTTTCGTATTCTTTCACCAAAAAACATTCCTCACCATATTATCACTAATGCTTGAAAGCCTTTCATGGGATGCAGTTGGTAAATGTAGGGTTTTTCTCAATGTGAATGTTATTCCAACTAAAAAGAAGTTTAGAAGAGGAACAATTTTGATTTCTTTTTCATTACAAATTATAGATAGACTATTCATTTTGTGATCCACAAGTAAGTCATGGCTCCTTTGTGCCTTCCAGAGACATGGGTAGCAATGGAGGGCTTATATGCATCTCAATGGAGGGCTCATATGATACTTTGTTTTTTAATTAAAAACCCTATGAATACATAAAATCAAAATACAAATAAAAAATATTTTTTATGGTAAAATATGACTGAAAAATAATATAAATTCTAAATATAAATGATATTAACCCTATAACTAAATATATTAAAAAATGCTTAGAGCATAATAATAACAAAAATAATATTAATAGCAACATACAAGAATGATTGAAAAACTGCACGTAGTGTAGGCCAACCACTTGTAAATAAATAACAAGGAAGATTTCTCCCTCCTCTCAACTTCTCTTCTCCCTAGTTTAACCACCACTCCATCTCCCATTAACATACCATTCTTTTGATCTCCTCATCTCCTCATCATCATCGTCACCATCATCATTGTCACCGTCATCATCATTGGTTACCACCAAATAGGGACAATGACCAAAGGGGGGTTCTAATCTAGAAAAAGAGAAGGGGTTTTTGTGGTGGGTAACGGTAGGATCGTTGAGCTTCTAGAGGAGTCATCACAAAGTTAGCATTTTTTGGGTCCTATTCTCTTAAGTAACTTCTTAACAGAGGAATTTTTTTCGGAAGGGTAGTGAGGGAGGTGACGGGAGCTTGGTTCTGTAGGTGGGATCCCTCTAGTCAAATCCAAATCTATCTTCTCCTAAAAATCCGGCCATGTTTGCTTTTATCATTTTTAGTTGATTTTCCCTATGTTTCTTTTTTAGATTTGATGTTAAGGTTGTATATGTTTGCTAGAAAATGAATGAGAATCAAAGATTGTTCAGTTTATTTTGCCTGATGAATGCCTTTTCTTGCTGAAAATGAGAAGCAATTGGAATGAACCCTAAATTTCATTTTGTTGTTGTTTGGATTCAATTTCTGTCTAATATTTTATCTATTTTTTCATATTTTGGTGAATGGTTTTGTGTTTTTGGCCAGAATGACCTAACCCAATCCAATGGAACTAAGAAAAAAAGAACTAAAAAAAAACTAAACTAAAAAAGGAATGAAGGAAAGAAAGTAAAAAATATAAATAAAATGATTAGTTTAATGTGTGATTAATGAAATTAATTAATTTTAATTAGAGTAAAGTAATTATGTTTATTGGTCTTAAGTTGAAATAATTTGATTTATTTAATTATCTTGATTAGATGTTAATAAATGTGATTAATTAATTTTAATTAATGTTAAATTAATCATTCAATTAAACTAATTATCATAATTAATTGATTTCAATCCTCTATTTTCTTTAATCTTAGTAAAAAGTCAAAAGTTATCTTCCTTTTATTTCAATTTCACCCAAAACTTTCATGTTCAAGCAATTTAGTCCAAAAATTTTAAATATTTTCAAATCATTCCATAATATTTAGAATTTAATCAAATCAATCCATTTAACTTTTTATTTGTGGTTGTGGTGCATGCATGTTCTTGATTTTGTCCATTTTAGTCCAAAAGTTTAAAAATGTTGCAACTTGGTTCATCCATTTTTCAAACTTGCTCATTAAGACCAAAGTAAAAATATAATAAATAAGTTGAATTAAAACTCCAATGTTAAAGTATAGAACCGTGGTTAAACGGAGGATTATGAGGTGCATGTATGTCATTCCTCCTAATCGAATCCCTAAACCCCAATCTCTGCGCAAACCAATTTTTAGGTGACTCGTCCCACCTCATAATTTGGACAAATGGCAACTTCTTCTTTTATATTTTTCAAACTTAATTTTTCATCATTTTCTCTTTTAAATTTTGAAATCTCAAGTTAATCGTCAACAATTATTAGAGTTAAGTTTGGCCTTTTTCTGCTTTAGATTGGTTCACAATAATTGTGCATTATTTATCATTCTTTTACTATATATGTAAAGCATAAATAGTCCTTGACCAATTCCTTACTGTTGGTTTTAGCTAGAGACTAGAAAAATGCCTTTATATGATTGTATGCTTCTACTGAAACCCCATGTGAATAAGGAGGCATTAAAGGACTTGGTAGCACAAGTGGGAAAACATGTTTACAACAGGAATGGGGTTCTTATTGATATCAAGTCATTTGGGACAATTCAGTTGGGCTACGGTATTAAAAAGCTTGATGGAAGATGCTACAAGGTGAAAAGTTTGCTACTTTTATTCTCATTGGTTTTCGTTGCTTTTCTCATGTGTCATTCTGCTAGTTTGTTCATGGGCTTGGTACTTTGAGGCTCAAATTAGCACTTAAAATTTGGTACATTGAGAATTGGGTGCAAGAGGTTGATTTAACTTTTCATTATTTTTTTTTATATTTCACTTTGCTAGTTTGTTGTAGCTTTCGTTTGAGACTCAATTTCAAATATATGCTTAGAATTTGCTACATTGAGAATTGTGTTTTGGGTGAATCATGTATCCTAACTTTGCCCCGGATGATGGGGGGAAAAGATAATGTCAGTAGTATGTGATGGTTAGCTCCTTTATGTGGTTGGTAAGTTAAACATATATTATTTTGTTGAACAAAGCTTTATACTTCATTGGTTAGACTGAATCTTTATGCTATATTGCTTTGCCTTAGGGTGAGATTTCTTTGAATTTATATGCTCTTCTATTCATTGTTGTTAAATAATCTTATTCTTTTTAAACTTTAATCTTGATTTTCTGTGTATAGAATTATGGTTCATGGCTTTAGAACATAGTAGGTTAATTTTAGTGATCCCCTGTTCACTTTGATGTCTTTTATCAACACTTTCTTTGTAACACCCCATAGATTTTAATGAATAGATTAAAAATTAGGGTATTTTATTTTAAAGTTTTGGGGATTAAATTGATTGGATTTAGAGTTTGGGGGTTGAAAATGAAATTTAGTGAAATTTGAAGGATGTTTAATTCTATCATCCCACTTTTTGTGCCATGTGGCACAATATTTACCAAGTAAAGCCATTTTTCTTTGGTTTGAAATAGATGTCTCCCGAATCCATCTTTTTTATTTCTGCGTCTTTCCTTCCTTCCCAGCTAGTCTCCTACGCCTTTTCTTCTTCTTCCAGCCAAGTGATGTGCTAAAGACATGTGAGGACTCATTTTCTAGTGAAGTTCTCAACCATTTCTGCTGCTTGCCTTAATTTGGTGCTTTGATTTCCAAGTAATTACAAGTTTTAAGTTATGAATTTGGGATTAAAGTTTTTGGGTAAGTATGAGTTTTGATTATAAATTTGAGGTAGAGTTTCTTTGGGTAGATTATAGATTTATTTCAATAAACTAAAAATTAGTTTAAATTAGTGAAATTTGACCCCAAAACTTTAGTTTAATAGATCTTTGAATATTAAGATTTTGTTAAGAACATGTCAATTTTTGGGGTTTATATGGGAAACAACAGTGAATTATTCCTTGTTTCTTTTTATGTTTGATTTAGTGTGAATTTTATAGATTAAAGGACCTTGTTGGAATTGTTTCACGGATTACTATTTACGCACTAATTACCATTTACGCAGTGTACTTCAATTTCTTTCAATATGAAGTTCTATGGAATATGTGAATTGTGTATATGGATATTAGTATGAACTTGAATTGTTCATGTGACTGATTAGTGGGAACATTAAATGGGATAATATTCTAATATTATTTTGGACATGTTCTAAACTTGTTTGACATGTGTATGTACTTGTGGCTATGAAGTAAGTGGACCTAATCTTAAAACTTGGGGTATTTAGTGGATCTCTACATAATAGGGTTAGTACTATGATTAGCTTCAGTATAGTGTTGCTAACACACATCAGTGAACTCCATAGCATTGTATGCTTTTTGGTTTTTATGCATTGTGCTTGTGACATCGAATTTGTGAGCATATGATTTTATTATATGAATTTGATTTAAATGCCATTGATTATTCCTTGACATGTGTGATTAAGATTTGAGATATTAAGTTATTTTTTAAACACCGAGAATTATAATATTATGTGGTTTGGTTCTATTGTATCTCATGCTCTTTGGGTGTATAGGTTTAGGGGTCTTAGGATTCAAATTTATAGTTTAAACTTAATACTTACTAGGCTTTTAGCTCATAAAATTCCCCCCATTTCAAATTAGTAGATTGGAGTAGTAGCCACTCAGCTTGAGAGCTTTCGGTATAAATCTCGTATGCCGACCTCAATGCTTTTGATGTGAAGGCGGATTAATGTATTACCAAAACGATGATTTTACTTTCATTATTTTAGAAAGTACTTTGAAAAGTAATTGCTCTCATGTATTTTTTTTGTATAAGTTACTTTTATGTGTATAACATTAAGATTAATTTAAATAGGCATAGCCTGACTTATTTTATATTTTGAGTATTTAGATATGTTTCTTAAGATATTTTTCATTTAAATAGTTTTCCCTTGCAGATGAATGATTTTCCTTCTATAAAATTTTAAATTGTTTTGAAAGCAGATTTTCTTTAAAAAAAAACATTTTATATTAGAAGAGTTTTTACTTCCGTTAAAGTTTTTTTTTATAGATAATTCCTACTGTTTTTTTTTCTTGAGGAGTACATTTTCCTACTTGATAAACCAAAAGGTTTATCAAAAAGGAAATGTTACATTCTTAGTCATATTTCATGAAACAGTGGCGTGGGGAAACCAGGGAGTACTAATTTAGTTCTTCATCGTTTTATTTCTTGAAGTTTTCAACACATTTAGTTTCTTTTTCATAATTTCATTAATATAGGCCTTGAAATATGGATGGTGAAATCCAAATGGAGATTTGTTTTGCATTGTCAAAATGTAGGTAAACATATACTTATGCTCTTATGGTTGTCTATTGCCATTGTTCCAATTTTACTTAACCTGTAGTGATATTACAGGATCTGCTATTCTCCCCTTCTAGAAAAGGTAGGGGCTAGTTGAACTTGTTTTGGTACATAAGAATGTCAGCTGTTTAGCATTGCAAAGTTTTAAACACTTGACCTGGACCCCAAATTAAGGTTTCCATAGTTAGTGTTTACCAACTTGGGTGAATTCATTTTGGTGGCCAGTTGAACTTTGCTTGTATGTTAAAGTTCCTTCAGTGATGGAGTGGTCTTCAACTTCACATTAGAAGTTGAAATCTTATAAGCAAGTGAGGATAAGGAACACCTGAAAGGAAAAGAATGGCGGTAATATTGAATAACTAACGATCTTGTTTTGGGTTAACAATAACTACAAATAACTATAGTATTAGTAAATGATGGAATAAACATATCTAGTTTGACAAGCATGGCCTGGATCAAGTTCTTTTATCACTTGAAGGAAGAGAAAAAATGAAACAAAGGGAATAACAGAGAACAAATGGCAATCCCCAGCTTCAAAATATGAGATCCATTATTGATATGTGCAGTTGCTACATGCTACAGAGCTTGCTTTTTGTGTGTATTTTCATTCAGCCTTGAAGCTATCATGAGAATGAACATTCAGCATTGAAGCTATCATGAGAATGACATCTCAAGAAGAGAGCCAATTTTACCCTTTAAGAGCTTAATTTTGAACTAAATGATTTTTGGAATATGTATTGTGTAACCATCATAAATCAAATTCAAGTAGCTGTACTTTTTGAAGTTCATCTAAAGATTTAGTTGTCAGGAATTGTATTCTGATGCTATGTGGTCTTATTGAATGTTAGACTTCTTTACATATTTCTGTAATATACCTATTTTGATTTTGATGGATGGATGAATGGAATGACTGTTGTTCTCTGTTGTGCATGATTTAGAGCCAACTGATGCAGATGACTATGATGGCTACACCCAATATCAACAAGGAGCTACATTACCTGAACAAGGAAGACAAGTTGCTTCGATGGCTTCTAGTTAAACACCGGGACCCGAATTATGGGCTGGAATTCCTTCATGAAAATGAAGAAGATGTGTTCAAATTTTTTCGAGGCAGTTTATGTGATGATGACAGTGACGAAGATGATGATGATGATCGTGCTGAATATGATGATGCAGAAGAGGCGAGCAAGGAAAATGATGGGCTATAGAATTTTTTTCTCTCATGTCTTTCGTGCTAAGGTTAAATAGTTTGCCTTTGGATTTTGAGTTTACCATTCTCGTTCAGTTCCGACCTCAAGCACCTCGACCAGAGTTCTGTTGTTATGACTATTTTCTGATAAATAAGTTAGCTTTGTATTAGATCTGTAAAACATGAAGCTTTCATTTGTGTAATCTGAAAGTTTTTGTTTGGATGGTAAGAATCTATTAATAAACATTTTTCTCTTAAAAATATGGGGTCAGTGGTGCCATTAGTCAATAACAAGGCCAGCCATTGGATAAGGAAAAAACAGCATTCAACAGCGGAATGAGAGATAATCTATGATATGTACGTTAGTTATACAATAAGAATAATTTCTCATCAATTTATGAGATTAATAGGTATTAGTTTGTATTATAAAAAATTAAGTAAAAAAATATTTAAAAATTATTTTTTAATGAAATATCATAAAAAAATAAAAATAATATTATTTTTACTTTAAAAATTAAGATATTTTAATCTTTATCTATGAGATTTTATTAAAACGATTAAATTTGAATTTTTTTTCACTTAATTTTTTGCAATACTCATTAATTTTTCAAATCTATTCCTGCTCATTATGAAATTTGAATTTAAAGTCTTCGAGTATTAGTTGTTAATCCACAATGAAATCCACCCTACTCCCCCTGCAGTCTTTGAAAATCACACAATGCCTTGGCCATAAACTGATATAATTAATCTACTTTGTATTTCGTTTAATTTCAGATCTGATTAATTAAGCATAACCATCCATCCTATTCTCAACATCCAAAAACAACCTTCTTTCCTCCTAAAAATAAGCCCCCACAATGTGCTCCATCTCTGGTCTCAAGCACATTACCTTCTTTCTTCCTATCTCCTGCCTTTTCTCCCCTTTTCTTTTCCTTCCTCCCTTTTTATCCTGAATTTCTTTCTTTCCTGGGAGGAGATCACCGGAATCATCAAGGCAATTCCCGAGCACCATCGACAGATCTTTCCAGTATGTTGGGTATCTCTAAAACAGCATCAATTAATATGGGCAAGGCCTACAAATCTTTGGTCACCAATGTCACCAAATGGTACCCTGATAATCATAAAGCTCTATCCCACAAAACGGAAGAGGAAGGAAAGATAAAAGATCCCGACAAGGCACATAAGGTACATGTAGATCCATGCAAATTCCTGCAAAAAATATTCCGTTTGACATTTTTCTTGTTTCATATTATACTTTCCAATCTGTCAGGGAGGACAAAAGGGAGCACTTTTGGTTTTTTCAGAATGTAAAGATTTATGGTTCTCTCTTCTTCCCATTTTAGGCCGCAAACGAAAAGAAGCAAGTGGAGAAATCTGAAAATAATGAGGATTCGACGAGAAGTGCAGATGGTGATCGGAGCATCGACGAAAACTTCTTTTCACGTCCGTTTTCTCTTGCAAAGAGCTTAAGTAGGAGAAGCCGAACACCTTCGGCTAGATCGTCTTCCTCTGGCCCTTTGTCAAAGAGCCAGACCAGGGAAAGCCTGGGAGAATCTGATGGCCATGGTTTATTAGGAAGCGAGAGTCGAAACTCCCCTTCTTCTCTTTCAGGAAGAAATAGTCAGAGAAGCAAGTCAGTAATTCAAAGGAGGCCATCAGAAGAAATAGAAATACCCAGCTTGTCGAGGAGTACGAGCAGGAGTGCTAACCTTGTTAAGTTCTCTCACTCCATAGCACGGAGGAGACCTCCACCAGTCGAGAAAAAGCTTGACTGCACGCTGGAGGAGCTGTGTTTTGGTGGCGTTAAAAGGATCAAGATCACTAAAGATGTAGTCTCGAAAGAAGGGTTTGTTTCTTGAACTAGAAGAAATAGTTTTGCTAAAGATTTAACTTGTTATACTGATGAGACTATTTTTGAGCAGGTTTATTGTCACGCCCCAGAACCCAAATCCGAAGACGCGACAGACGCTGTGCACCCGTGAGACGGGTCCCACGAATGCACAAGGCTCAAAACTTATCCAATTCATAATCTGATACCACCAAATCTCAAGATAAAATTTTTACAATCTGCTCTGATATCATAAAATCTCCAAATACACTCTAGCTTACAGAATCATAATCTGTATCTAAAATCTATATCAAATTCCAGGTGACTAGCCTTCTAACTCGTCACTCCCCTCGGTTTCCCCCGTCCTCAGTATCGCTTCCTAAAATGGTGGACAAGGAAAACTATGAGATAACTCAGTAAGTAATTATGGATAGCCCTTGGGTAAAACTTTTAAGCATGCCAGATAAACCATGTAAGTATAACAGAACTTTCACTGATAAACCGTTAATGCGGAAATCAAATCCGGTTCAATAGCAAAACGTTCAATGACAAAACCGTCAATACAAAATCAGATTCAGTTCAATAACAGTGTTTCATGACAAACCGTTCATGCAGAATAAATCTCATCAGTAGTCTCATCTATAAG